ATTAAAAGTAAATTCCTCCCATCCTCCATTTATAGCCACATAGACGGTGTTTCTATCAAGTCACTATTTAAAGGTTATAGAAGTTTAAGAGATGCCTGCCACAGAGGAAGAGAAAGCAGATAATGCTATGTTATACTAATGGAGACAGTACACAACTGTACTGTCACCAGCATAATGCCACGAAAATTACAAGCTGGGCCAATCTAGCCTTTTAACTGCTTATCAAGGGAAGTGGAGGAACACCTCAGTTTTCACTGTTTGTTCATCAGGCAGCTTTTTTTAAAAAAAGCTATTAAAGCTAACAAAGGAGAGGTTCTTTGCAAACCTGATTTTGGTTCACTTGAACAGGCTACTGAATATGCAACAATGGTTTGAAAATGCTGATGCTGCAGCATTGGCTGAAAATAAGGGAGCTGTCAGCCTGACCTGCCTCAGTAGCTCTATTTGCAGGAGATGCTTACCCATAGTTAAAATAATGATGATTTACTCAACCTAAATTTGGGGATCATTCAATATCTTGAACTATAAATCAGTGAATGAACTGAGTGGCACAGCATGCAATCTCCGGTATATGTTTTCTAGTTTATGATTCAGAATTGAGGCTGCAAGATCTGGGCTACAAAAATCTAGAAGACCACTAATTGGGAGCAGGAAAATACAGGAATATCCAAATCTTTGCTGTCATCCAATGTTGTCTAGATTTTTTTTCCAGCCCAAATCAGGTGATCTTATTCAATGTGTCAGGCAAGCAGCCAGAAATGACACAATTGGTTTAGTCAAAGGGGATTCAGTTAATCATGAGTCATCAATATGCAATATTTGGCCTCCATAATTTATATAACTAAATGTTTCCCAAAAGGAATCGATGAGAGCCCTTCTGTGATAGTTATGATACCTATAAATTATAGGAATTGTAGTTCAGTGTATTTGAAGAGCAATGAGTTGAAGCCAAAAATATACACCTGCTGGACTCTCTTCCAAACACCACATTCCTCCCCAAAACTCCATCCCACATATTAACATAGTTACTTGGATGTTAACAAAGTTTTCTCCTTGTTTCTGAAGCCAAATTTAGTTGCTCAGCTATTATATCATGCTAAGTCATGACTTGTTTTAGCAAACCGTAACCACTTCATTCATATACAACTCTAAGGCAAAATTATGGCTTATAATCAATAGCTGCTTGTGTTCGCAAATAATGGATGCTAAGACAGAATCAAATAAACCATGTTAGAGTTTAGAGAATGCATAAACTCAGAGGCTAAAAATTCCAGTCCTGCGGACGGTCCAAATTTATGGCCAAGGATCATACATTGCTTTAGCCATAATATAATTTGCACATGATATATGAACAGGACTTCTGTGGATTATTCAGCCAAACATTCTTAAAACAAACGGCAGCTTCGTGCAATGTCTGAACTCAAGTAATGTATGACTTTAGCACAGAGGATACCTTTGTGTCTATGTGTCGGCATAAATAGGTTGCCATATGCTATAGTTGATTAACTAAAACCTGGTATACTGGAGGATAGAGTGCCTACATATACCTGATGCAACTCCTTGGCACATTTTTTCATCCTTCTCTGGTGTGCCTTTAAAAATTCCATTAACTGATGTCGAGAACTCTAGCTAATTGCAATTCATGTTATGCTTGTACTTTGCTTTTTTTTCTATGACTTTTTATAATTATAAAATGCCTAGTGGTGCCACATAAGTCTCTTCTTCTATTCCCCTTCCATTCTTTCCAGTGCATAAAACTTGTTCATATTCCTGTCCTTAATATAGACTCATTAAGATACTGTTTTCCTTAGGTGCTTTTTTAATTTAGTTATATTTTTCCCCAGTCATCATTGGGGCCAGACCAAAGAACTTGGAATAAGTTTGGAATAAGTAGGGCTGGTCAAGTTGATCCCTCAGTTCAACCTACCCCCTAAGATTTCTGTAAAGCCAGTCATTGTTGACTACTGTACAGTATCTCCTGAGAGAGACTTCTTAAAATCAAGAAAGACAAGTCATAGTCAAAAATATAGGAGCTAGAAGGACCTATGAAAAGCAGCTGATGGATAGAGATGACCAATTTTATGTCCTCTATCAAACAAACTATGGGGTCAAAGAAACTCTTTACATGTATAGCAGGAGAGTATACAGGGCTAGATCTGAAAATGAGCCAGAAGACTGAATTTGTTCTCTGTAGGATACTCTTAGAAAACTGGAGGAAACAGTTATTTGTTCTACTATAATATGTAATCAGCCTTCATTTTTCATTCAGCCGGCAACAGTAAGATAAAGACTGCTCATTGAGTTTGACTCCTGGTGACACATTCATGTGTTTTTCTTGGCAACAGAACAGAAGTGGTTTGGTATTGACTTCCTCTGAGAGATTCAAGGCTGCCTAGGTGTTACAGCCTATGGTGTATATACGTAAATTAACTTTGTATCATCATAAAACATGATCTGCCTCCATTTACTTCTTTCTAAGAAAAGTGAGTTGCATGGGTACACACTGAACCCTCTTGAAATTAACCAGAGTGTAGGCAGTACAATTGTTTACTTGTCCCATATTTGCCTTTCAGAGATTGCCTTAGTTGCCCATAGTGAATGCCGACTCAGATCCCCTTCAGCCAATGTATGAAGATACTTTTTGCCTAGTTCCTTTCTCAAAATGATGGGAAGCTAAAGGTCAAAAGTGCTCCAAGTTGGGAAGGTGAAATACTGGCTCATAAAGAGATTTTTTTTCCTTTTGGTTCCACACCCTTCAAGAAAGCATGGGGAAGTCCTACTTCAGGGCACTGCAATTCTCTTGAAAGCAGTACTTCATGTCTGAGAAGTGAGTAGAGATGGAGGAAAAGGGCTGGTCTGAAATCCCACAGACTGGGTAGTATAGTCTAGTTCTTCAGGTTTGGCCTGTGGACTGGATGATCTCCATTCTTGCTACTAAGGAATTAAACAGTTCCAGTTATTACTGTATACACAAAACGCTACTGAGTTCAGTGAGAATTACTTAAAGTAGGTATTTTTAGGATTAAATTGTGAGCCAGGAAAAATGCAGGTAACTAAATACAAGAGGAGGTCCTGTAAATATTCAGATTCTGAACACAGGTATGGCTATCAGATAGAGGTGATAGCAGTTTTAGCCCAACAGCATCTTAGTTCACCAAACCTGCAGTTGTACGAAACATCACATATTGTACAATTGTGATCTTACTGCTGAATCCCCAGGCTAATCTGCATCTTTCAAATGTAAGCAACGCTACCTACATAGCTGGCAGAGGGAAAATCCATCCACTCAATATTTTAAAATTGTCATTCTATTTCAAAAAATTAATTGTTGTAGAGGCACAGTGGGTTGTACATTATCGAGCAGGAAAGGAGAAAAACAGGACTAAACTTAGCAGGGTTCCTCAACATGCTGCTATCCAGATGTGTTAGATTTCAACTCCTGTAAACATCAGCCATAAGGGCCTTGCTTGGGAGTCTGATAGCGATGGGATAGTTGAACAGATTCAAGAAATTCCATCTTAGAAATTCAAGTATCATTCCAATTTCATTGAAATGTCTTTGCTGACTCCTTTGTTCCTATCCTTTTTTCTTTGAAAAATTTGATGAATTTTTTTCTCCTGATTTCCCACTTAATCTCTATTTTCAACCAATTCAGCTTGATTAGTCAAGATCAGTGCTAAAATAGCTCCTAATTACTTCCACCACCTTTTGGAGCAAAAAATTAAAGCTATGACACCTGTACTGGAGCACAACTACTTTTAGCATTGCTACAGTTATATGGGAAGCTAATAAATGGTCTTGAATTCTCTGCAGGAATTCCTCCACTTCTGCATCCCCACTAAGCCTAAAACTAAGGCCAGATTTCACTACCAAGTGAGAACAATAAACCAATGGAATGACTTGCCCTCAGAGGTTGTTGACGCTCCATCACTGAAGACTTTTAAGAAGAGACTGGACAACCATTTGTCTGAAATATATAGGGTCTCCTCTTGAGCAAGGGGTTGGACTAGAAGACCTCCAAGGTCCTTCCAACTCTGTTATTCTGTTATGCAGATCCATTTGATTTGCAAATGTTAAAGCTTCTTCCGATGAATTCTGGAATGTCATGGAGGTAAATTAATATCATGTTCTCAGAGTGCTTGAATTCAATCTTCTTACAAATAATAACAATGAATTGATATATTGCTCTGAGTTTCCTTAGCAAGTGTTTCACTTTTGCCCTGCAACAGTGTTTCTAGTCCTCCAAGTACTGTAAGGAATTTAGAGGCTGGGCTATGCATTAAACGTAAAGGTAAAGGTTCCCCTTGCACATATGCGCTAGTCGTTCCCGACTCTAGGGGGTGGTGCTCATCGCCGTTTCAAAGCCAAAGAGCCAGCACTGTCTGAAGATGTCTCCATGGTCATGTGGCTGGCATGACTAAACGCCAAAGGTGCATGGAACGCTGTAACCTCCCACCAAAGGTGGTCCCTATTTTTCTACTTGCATTTTTACGTGCTTTCAAACTTCTAGGTTGGCAGAAGCTCAGTGGCTAAGATGCTGAGCTTGTTGATCGAAAGGTCAGCAGTTCAGCAGTTCGAATCCCTAGTGCCACGTAACGGGTGAGCTCCCGTTACTTGTCCCAGATTCTGCCAACCTAGGGCTATGCGTTAAGGGACAGTATACAATTGTGTCTAAATGAAATGCTATAAAAATTACTATATTCTCAAGTCAAGGTCAGTTCCTGGTTAATTCATCTGGGCAGTTTCCTTGTTAATGTTATAGAAGAGTTTGGCATTATTTTCTGGCATATTTTTTGACCTAATCTCTAATTAGGTCTCTAATTTCAAGTTGTCTGTCCTCCAAGTTCTAAGTAGGGCTAAATTAACTTAGTTTTTACAATCAGCCAAACTTTGCTAGGTGCTATTACTGGATGAGGCCTAAGTCTTACACTTCATGACTCTTGACTCTCTGTCTACAAAGGATTTGGGATCATATTGATTAACACAACCTGAGTTCAACGCTACAATATGTATGGACATGGCCCTCTTTGTTGATAGAGTCCTCCATACATATTGTAGTATTCAGCTCAGGTTGTGTGAACTATTATGATCCGAAATCCTTGTTTGTTGCTTTACAGAATCAGTGGGATGTAAATATGCAAATATTGTCAGGGTATGGGAGAGGGGAGAAAAAAAACACCTTGCTTTACTGATCTGATCATAACACACACAAATCAATAGAATGTAGTCCTATGTTCTATTCCAGGTGTCCAGCCTTAAGACTTGTGGACTTCAACTCCCAGAATGACTGACTGGGGAATTCTAGGAGTTGAAACCTGCAAGTCTTAAAGTTGCCAAATTTGGACACCCCTGCTACTCCAAAGTATGCAAAACCCAAAGGATGCAAAAAAAAAAAAAAGGGCCATAATTTCCTCTTGGTTTCCTTTACCAACATATTTCAAGTCCCTGTCTAGTCACCTCAGGGACAGAGTTAAAGAACATTGCTCAGCTGCCTGTGCCTTGGCAAGAGGCCAGGACCAGCCTTGGTCTGTCAAATTCTTGCAGAAAGAGGCGGGTGGATTCTCTCTCTCTCTCTCCTGCCCTTGTTCCCTTACTCTTCTACCTTTTAAGCAACTGTTTTTCAGAGAGAGCCTCTTGGGTGACAAAAGTCAGAAGCCACCCCAGCAAAACCTCCAAGTGCTGCCTGATGCTCTTCTCACTCCTTATTGGCCAAGAAGAGAAAACAACAAAAAATAAATGTGCTTCTAAAGTTTACAGTAAACTCTCCCCAGCCTCTCCCTCCCCTCTTTCATTCTTTCAACAGAGAAGAAGCCAAAGGAAGCCTAATGCTTAGACGCCTGCAGGTTGTTGGAGCAACTTTGTTATCTGTTACCTTTATAAGAACCAGGAAATATTCCAAGTGGGGGAAAGTCTGTGCGATACGATAGTGATATACATTTCTTTTTTTACTGCGAAAAGAAGAAGTCTGAAAACGCTCACAAAGCAAAGCAGGCTGAAGGGATCGCTTTTGAAGTTTACCTTTTTGGATTAAGCTGAACGCTTGCCCTTCTCTTCGCCATGATCCAGTGCTACGGGACGCGGCTCGGATCATTCCTTGCAATCACAATAATGTTTCTATTCAGAGAGGTAAGAAAATCACTTTCAGAATTATCTGTTTCAACTACGAACACTTCACTGAGCTTATTTTTCAGTATTTGCACTTGGTGGGACATCATCACAAGTAGTGCTTCTTTAACGGAACAATATGAAATTTGTAGATGCTTACTTTTATGTGATTGGGCACGGCTTGCCTTATAATCCCCCGATGTTTTTGCAAATTGGCTGTGGCTTTTCTTGTCAATTGCAATCAGAGTCAGTATGATTCAGCTTTTCCATAACAGTTCATTTATTTGAGCTGGTCAGCTTCTTAAATGTTATTTATCTGCTCATTTCCCTTTTGCTTGTTTCAACAGTACCTATGCAAATCTTTCATATAACTGCTAAAGATAAGTCATTAGGATGCAAACATTTTATATTTCAGGTTCACTACTACAATCTTTGCAGCGATTCCTTCCCAGAGTCCATTATAATCCAGCCATTTGTTCAGACTTTCCGAAATGCAATGCAGATAAATTCATGATCTTCTTTTTATCCAAGAACTGTCTTTTCCCCCAAATCTACACTTTTACTTAAAGATTTGGCTGTTGACTTATTTAGATTTAACGTTCTGATTTAATTTTTAAATGTCTAAAAGGGTTTTCTTTTTCATCCTTAGAATGGATAATTCAGTTGATCTGAACACCTGGATCGCATTCAGATCTATGCCTATAAAAGTGGTTTCAGTATGAATGGTACAAAATCTTCCTCATTTTTAGAAACATGTTTAAGATGCTATTGTAAAAGTCCATTCTGTCTTGAAACACAGTATTAATTAGACCTCAGTTGGTTGAAAGCCAATCTGTTGAGGATTATTTGACACAGTTCTCTGAATTTCTGTCCTGATAAGTGAGCATAGGTATGGCAAGCAGTGGCTGCCATGCCAGCCCAGTTTGATCTGTGGCATCACCCTGATAGCAAGAACAAAGATGTACTTACACAGCAATACTTCATTGTTGGCATTGCTATATTGGCAACAGCTACTATCACCAAGTAGCAATAGCCTTGTTTTATTATAGGCTTTGCTATTCTCTTGTGATATTATGCCAGTCAACTCTTTCTTTGTTCCTATGTGTTGTGATACACAGAGCACAGATCAAGTTATGCAGTAAAGTGGCTTAATAGCACACCTCATGGGATGAAGGCCTATATACCTTGAAGAGCTCAATTCAATTTGAAACCATTAGAGCTGAGCTGATTTTTGAGACTGATGCTCATATTGCTACATTTTTGCAATACATGCCAAACAACAGATGATTATTTAGCCTGTTTGAATAAGTCATTTAAGACTTCAAGAAAAAGCCTGAAAAATGGGGTTCTTTATGCATTTTGAGAAAAGCTAAGAAAAATCCCATTTTGGGGGGGGGCAGGTTGTCATCTTTGATTGGGACTGTAGTGGCTAAGCCACATTTCCTACTCAGAAAAAAAATTCATTTTGTATTCAGTGCTATTGTGTAGACATGATGTTTAAAACTGGGACTGAGCTGTAGGCAAAATCTAGATTCTCCCATCCTGCATATATTTCTTCATCTAGCTTCAAAGAACTAATATTTCCTTTTTTTATTATTTTAATAGGATCTAAATACCAAGATCCAGAGGCAGAAAGAAATTATTGATAGTATTAGGATATTTATCTTTTTATGTTCCAATTAATAGAAAATTCTTTTTAAAACAAACTTTAATCCCAAAACCATAACTCTTTCAAATCAGCAGGATATTTATTTATAGAGCAATCCATGTATATAGATTTCTGAGTAAGATCGATCAGTACAAAACTAAATGAACAATAATAGAAAGTAAACATGGTTAACCCCACTGAACCATTTTATGGTATAGGATCCAAAAAGACCGAATCATCAGATTTAATTTGAGGCTCGAACATCAGTAGGGATGTTCAAATAATATAAAATCCCATTTGAATTATTGGTTCAATCAATCAGTCCAATTCAATTTCCCAATTCAAATTGATTTGGAAAAACAATTAGCATCAAACCCTGAATTCACTTTGTCAGAGTGAATTGATTTGCTGCAAATTTTCAGAAGCTTAGTTTATGTGCAGAAAGAACCAAAATATTCAAAAATGATCCAGACGCATCGGATTTCATTTGATTTCTGACTCAATTTAGAAAGTTGATTTGAATTGCCTTCAGATTAAATTTCAAAATTATATATCTCTACGGGCCTAAACATCAATGCCTGACAATGAAAAATAGGAGTCTGCAATCAAAAAATTCTTGTAGTTCCATATAACATATTGTTTTCAACAGGTGGGAGAATGAAGTTACCCCCTCCCTCCATTCCAAGCTGCTTTTCATTAGTGTGTTCTGTTTTCATTTTCCCTGTGAGGTTGGGATTAGGATAACCTTCCTCAACCACTCTTCACCTCCTCATCTCCAGATATGTGGACTAAAGCTTCCAGAATATTTAGCAATCTGCATGCAAGATAGAATTCTGGGATTATAAATTCCCATCTCATGGATGCCCTGGCCAAGGAAGATTGAAATAAAAACATTTTGGGAAACTCCAGAAGTCCTTATAAATTTATAACATAGCTATGCACTGTTTCAGACTAATATTTATAGTATTGTATGCACTTCGAAAATAATTTGGAAGAAGCACTTGGAACAATAGCATCTTTCTGCTCTTTGTGAAAACAACCTGATTTATTAAGCCTAAGGCAATTCTTAAAGTAGTGCCAGCACCAGCAGCCTTTTTTCAGGCTCATGTATAACACCTAGAAAAAGTTGGGCTACTTTTTTTTTTTTTTAATTTGATTTATATGCCGCCCTTCTCCGGAGACTCAGGGCGGTTTACAATGCGTTAAGCAATATACTTTTGTATATTTATACAAAGTCAGCTTATTGCCCCCAGAAACTGGGTCCTCAATTTACCTACCTTAGAAAGGATGGAAGGCTGAGTCAACCTTGAGCCTGGTGAGATTCAAACTTACAGTAATTGCAGACAGCTGGTGTTAATCACAATGCTATCAGTCTGCTGAGCCACCAGGCCCGTTTAATGAGTTTAAATACTTTAATGAATAACATAACAGCTCAATAATTTAGTCATCTCAAACTGCCTTATTATAGTTTCTTGGTTACCTTCAAGGAAAATGTCCCATCAAGTACATTGCAATGTTCTAGATAAGAATTAATAGACTTTTCAAGAACAGTTGGAACAAACAAAAGACCAGCTCAAGCTGTTTGAACAATTTTGAGCTACCCGAAATTCCAGTGATAAAAATGATTAAAGGAATATTCCTAGCCTTGTTGCTGCTCTTTTAGAAAGACAGTATTACTGTCAGCAGTTGTATTATTCTATTTATATTCTACTTTATTTCTAGGCACTCAAAATGCCTTACGTGGGGATCTTTCTTTATTTTATCTCCACAAAAACAACCTGGGTGTACAACCCGAATCCAAAGTCATTGACTATGTTTTCATGATCAAGTGTGGTCATGAATCTGGGTTTCCGTGATCCTAGACCAATGTCTTAACCTCTGCAACATAGCAGCTCTTTAGTTCCTGGGAATATAGTGATCATGCTCTCTCATTGGGATTTAGTCATTATTTATTGACTCCCATCCAGACCCGTGATCAATATCTGCACAAGCTCATTTAATTCTTACATGCTTTGGGTGAAACTCTAGTCTGAATGATATGTTATGGATGATGTTCAGAGAGCAGAGACCAGACTAGGCTCACTCCATTGGAAGTATTTGCTCTTATCTTTTATATTTCAGGGTGAGCACAAAAGGCTTGGAAAACAGTAATCTATATTTAACTGGGAATTAAATGGTGGGAATTTGTCATTCAACAGCACTAGTCCAGCTATAGCCATTGCGAGTGGGGTAAGACTAAGTTTAATTGTATCTTAGCAATACTGTTTATTTTGACACATTGGAATGTACTGAATTCTAGCTGTTCTCCCTTTGCACATCCACTAAGAATTCTAGTTAAGTAGGCATTAAAGGAATCAGGAGTGTCCACAGTGTGAGTGGGTCAAAATTACAAGATTGCAAGATTGGTGTTGCAACTGAAGATCCACCCCCTCCCTCTTTTTTTTTTTTTTTTGTTACATGCACCCTTTAAGGAGCCCTGAAAACCGAAAAATATGATGGCACAAATAGGTGATGACATGGTTGGCTAAAGTTGAAAAAACAGCTTGGGTGATTCAACATAATATAGTGCAATTATGCATAGGTCTGTATGTTGGGTGAACACAGCCCAAGAAAGGTGCATGGAGGCAGAATAGAACAGCTACCGGCAGACAGAACTTTCAATCTGCATTGTTTGGATTATTAAGGTAGACTTGTATTCATTTGCAAAGGTTTGCATACTGTGTCTTCCCCGTTCAGTGGAGCAACAGGCTCCCAGCAGTTGCCTGTGGCCCCATGAAAGGATTCATGCAAAAAGGTCCATAGTTAGTCCATAACCTTGAGTTGGTAAAGCTTAATGAGTGTAGGCTGTGGGATGGGTGTAAAAGTCTCTGTATGAAGTTCAAAGTTGGGGAATCTTGAAAAGAGAGGAAGGAAGGCTATATGGTTATTCTATTTAATTGTTTTACTCAATTGCATCTATTAATCTTAGTAAAGTTGAAAAGTTTACTTTTCTTGATATTTTTGTTTGCGATTCCGATGGCCTTTGTTTATCTAATAAAGAAACAATCTTAAGTCAAACTTGGCATATTGTTCCAGAATGCAATCTGGAAATTCTTCTAAAACTTTTGGTTTATGGCTGAGCTGGAAGATGAGATCGCCACACTTTTCTCTCCCTGCCACTCCATCCCCATCCTCAGGGAACAAGAGGCGAATTCAGCAACATGGTGGCTGAGTCAACATAGCCATAGTTGGCCATAGCTTATGGAATTAACTCAGTTTGCTGGGACTGAATCATAAACCACCCACCCAGATTAGATTTGAATAACATCTTGGGCTACATGATGATGATATCTTCTGGTTCAGTCTGCTGTATAAATAGAGCCTCTTAAAGATA